TCGCCTTGGTCTTGTTGCTCAGTTTGCACCGAGGAGAGCTCAGGAGTGGAATAGCATGGTCGTGGATGCTCAGCGAGGGATTCTCCAGGGGTGCTGGTACCCTCCTGGCATAGTCTATGATGTAGTTCCGCTACCATGTTGATGGGGGGGGGGAGGAATTGGGCCTCCGGTCACCTGCACTCACCAGACGAAACGCGGAAGCAGAGCTTTTTTTTTTTTTTTTTTTTTTTTTATAGGAGAGGGGGCAAACGAGCATGCGGCTCACCTGATGGTAAGTGACTACCGCCGCCCATGAACAACCGCAACACCAGGGGAATTGCAGATGCGTTGCCGGCCTTTTAAAAAGGAGTAGGCTCTTTTCTTGAAGGTCCCTAAGTCGTATCGGTCCGGAAAAATCCCTGGTGGTAAACTATTCCACAAGGAAGTTGTGCGAGGAAGAAAACATCTTCTAAATCGCACAGTGGTGGACCGCCAATCATCCAGATGGTGTGGATGGTATCGGGAGTTCTGCCGCGATGTGCGTTCGTGAAATTTGGCGGCTGGGATTAATCCGAACAATTCCTCAGAGCACTCCCCATGGTAGATGCGAAAGAAAATGCAAAGAGATGCAACATCTCTTCGCAGTGCCAATGAATCGAGCCGATCGGAAAGGGCTCGGTCGTCGACGATTCGAGCCGCTCTGCGCTGGATGCGGTCAAGTGGAAGGAGCTGGCACTGGGGAGCCCCTGCCCAGAGATGGGAACAGTATTCCATGTGAGGCCGAACCTGCGCCTTGTAAAGTTGCAGGCGGTGTGCCGGCATGAAATACTGTCCCGCTCTGCTGAGCACGCCAAGCTTTTTAGAGACCAATTTGGCCTTCTCTTCCAAGTGACCACGAAACTGCACGTCACTCGATATGTCGACTCCGAGGATACCGATACTGGCTGAGGCAAGAAGGGGAGTGCCTTGAAACTGAGGAGATACGACAAAGGGGTTCTTTTTAGCGGTAAACGCGCAAACTTTCTTTCCACTTCACGCCGGTATTCTGTGAGGTCGTGGTACTAACCCGGCTCGAGCCGGCCCATACGTGCAACAGCAAAAGCTGCTGCGTGGCTCTACCACCGTTATATGGTATACTACAGTTACATTACTCAAAGCTTTTTAAGCTGTGCGGGAGAGAAGACCAAAGATCAGGCTTTCGGGGAATTATGCTACATCAGGATAACGCCTCTTCACATCCCTCCCTGAGAACAAAAGTATTTATTGAGAAATCTGGTGTTGAAACTCTAATTCACCCACCCTACAGCCCTGGCTTAGCTTCTTGTGATTTTTTTTGTTCCCAAGATTCAAGGAACAAATAAAACGTAACTTTTTTCAAGCGCCGAAGAAGCCGTGGCTGCCTACGAAGAAGTGATTTCCGACCTGTGAGATCAAGACTGGCAAAAGTGTTTTCAGAGTTGGTTTAGGCGAATGGAACTTTGTATAACGGTATTCGTCCTATTGCCGTTGGTTCTACATTTCGACGCTTAACTTCAAAATTAGCTTGCAGGCACATAATCTCTAACCTTAAGAGCAAATTTCAGCCTACTCAACAAGGCTTTGGCACTAGAGGTGACTGTGAGACGGCGGTACATTCAGTGCGCACATTTTTAACAAATTATGATGCAGACGTTCTTGTGAATGTTGACTTAAGGAATGCTTTTAACTCTATCGATAAATTTGCTGAAAGGAGTAGCTAACAATACCCCCGAAATTTATCACTACGTTTGGCAATGTTATAGTCGAAATACTAACTTGTTTTACGAAAACCATGTTATCGATTCTGCTGTCAGTGTTCAGCAGGGTGACCCACTAGGTCCAGCACTTTTCAGTTTGGGCATGCAACCCATTATTTCAAATTTGTAATCCAAGCTGAATATCTGGTACCTGGACGATGGTACACTGGGAGGTAGAGCAGATGACGTCCTCAGTGATATAACTCATATTTTTCGAAATTTTAAAAATATTTGTCTTGAGCCAAAATATTTTTTCCAATAATTTATCTACTTCTCAGAGAGACAGTTTAATTCAAAATTTCAATCATGTTTCTCGAGGAATAAAAACTGTCAGTGTGGAATCACTATACCTGCTAGGTGCCCCGTTGTTTTTCGATAGTATTAAACCTGTTTTATAAACAATATTTGATCAGTTTTTAAAGCACGTTGATAAATTGTTTAAATTAAACCCCCACATAGCTCTTAATATTTTAAAATATTGTCTCCTTGTACCTAGATTTACATACTTAGTTCGCTCGAGTCCAGTCTGGAAATGTTCGGATATTTTAAAAGATATTGATAATAATCTTACAATAGCTATAGAAAAAATTCTAAATTTAACTTTAAATACAACAGCCTGGTCTCAAGCTAATTTACCTATAAAATTTGGTGGCATTGGTGTGAGAAATCTTTCTAGCGTTGCATTGCCTGCTTTCCTTGCTTCCATGCATAGTCTCAGTGACTTATGTAACATAATTTTAAAAAATAAAGTAGACCTATGCTTTGCTACGGAGGCAGGGCAGATATGCAAACGCTCTGTCTCGGTGAAAATGTTCCACTGGATTTTAACCAACAAAAACAGTGGGATATTCTGTTGGTACGGGGCGTGCAGAAAGATTTGTTTCATAATTTCCATAGTGAACAAGATAAGGCAAGTCTTCTAGCTGTTTCGAATAAGGAATCTAGTCACTGGTTACACGCTTTACCATCAAGTAATCTCGGCACATTACTTGATGGGGAAAGCTTGCGTATTGCATTCTGTATATATATACAGAATGGATATATATATATATATATATATATATATATATATATATATATATATGTAAAAAAATAACATTTCTTTAAGTTTTGTTATTGTTTATTAAATTCTTTTATGGTTAGTCGATAAAGCAGAAACAATTTACTTCGCTACTTGATAGATGGCGCTGTCAAAGTATTTGAGTGAACTGTAGATAAAGCAGACGGTTTCGAAGATGGCGTCAGTAAAATGTTAAAATTGTAAAACACGTAAACAATCGGATAATAATAAAATAACTAATAAAGGGAATCGACAAGTGTAATAACTTTTAATGTCGTTTCTTTATTTTTTCAGGTATGTTTAGTGATTATTGTCAGGTGTAGTTAAGTGAAAAATACAAATGTACAAATAATTTATACTAATAAAACTTTGTTTTTTCAGAGCAACACAAACGTTTATTTCACCGATTCCCTATAAATTACACGAATTGTCTTATAAAACGACATTTCTAGTTAAAGAAAATGGAGAAGTTAAGATTTACTTTTGCGGTATTAGCGGCAAGTGATGGCAAAACAAATGTAATCTGCATAACCTCAATTGAAACACCCGATGGACGTAATTATAATGTTCCGGACGAAATGAAGCCTGCAAGCAAACACACGAGTATTGTGAGCACAGAGGTATTCACGAAGGTCAAGAATTCTCTAAAAAAAAGACATCAAATACGTAAATTGTGGATTCCATTATCTCCGGAATTGAAAAAAATCTATTTAGATGAAGGCGAAAATTTGCAGTTTGGAGATCAATATTTAGATGAAATTGCAGAGGAATCTAGACCACTAGTTCACAAAAACTGCGACGTCGGGTCTGGAAATAAAAACCTAGGAAAAACATCTGAATAATTTTTAATTGAGAAATTTTCAGGAAAAAATTCCAATGTGAATCAATGGATAGGTGAATTTGAGAATGAGTGTGAACGATTCGAAATACTACAGGATACAGAGAAAATTGAGACTTTAAAGCATCTACTAGAGAAACAATGCCATGATTGGTACACTAGTATGTTGATAAAATTCACTGTAAATTCAGAATGGACTGTTTGGAAAAATAACTTTACTGAGACATACGGAAATAAAGGTTGGTCACAGGTTAAATATGCATTTGCCTATAAATTTCAAGCGGGTTCAGCACTGGAATATGCTACGAAAAAGGAACGGCTGTTATTAGAAGTAAATAAACACATAGATACACAGACGATGATAAATCTTATCGCAACTGGCCTACCAGATTACATATTGGGCAAAATTGATAAGGAATCTATTACATCCACTGCAAGTCTTTTCAATGAAATTGGTAAATTTGAGCATACAACAAATAAACATACCTATTATAAACCAAAACAAGACACATTTGAAAATAAAGGAAAATCTGATAAATATCAAGCCTGCAAAATCTGTGAAAATTTGAACAAGGGAACTCGTTATCACCCAGAAGAAAAATGCTGGTTTAAAAAAAGTGAGCAACAAGAAAACAAGAGAAATCACTACAGGAATATAAACAATACTATATTAGATCTTGAATTAAATGATAAAGATCCAAAAAACTAACAATCACACCATTAATCAAAGTCAAACTTACATTAGATGAAAAACTAAACGTTTTTGGCATATATGATTCAGGATCTAATGTGTCCTTGATTAATTCCAAATTAGTAAAACTAAAACAAGAAGAAGGAAAAAGAGAGTTTAGTAATGCAAATTTAGTAACAATTAATGGTGTGAAGAGTACAGGAGGTTTGACAACAATAAAGATTAAAATACTAAACATAGAAAAAAAATGCGACGTGTATATTGTGGATGGAAAAGATTTTCAATATGATTTCCTTATTGGACTAGACATGATAAAAGAGTTTAGATTAGTTCAGAATGAAAACCTGGAAATCACACAAAAAACCAAAGACAACACTGATATGGAACTAAATGAGAAATTGACTTCTAAGGAAGGTAAGAGTAATGCACAATTTTACTCTAATAAATTCTCTATAAATTTCAATCAACATGTAAATGAAAAAATTTTGAGATAAAAATGGGTAATTTAAATGCTCAACAAGAATTTGAAATAAATACACTGATTGACAAATATAAATCGAGTTTTGCGAAGGATAAATACGAAATTGGAACAGTAAGAGACTATGAAGCACATATCGACCTCCTAACGGACAAATACTGTAGTAAAAGGCCCTATAGATGTTCAATGGAGGACAAAAAAGAGATAGAAGAACAGGTGGCAAAATTACTTCAAAAAATCTTATAGAAGAATCATACAGCCCGTTTGCAGCACCTGTAACTTTAGCTTTTAAGAAAGAAGATAATAAAAGAAACAGATTATGTATTGATTTCAGAGATCTCAACAAAATAGTAACACCACAAGCTCAACCATTCCCGTTAATTGAAGACTTGGTAATAAAAACAAGAAACTGCAAGTACTTCTCAACATTAGATATTAACTCTGCATTTTGGTCCATCCCACTGCGAATTGAAGACAGAAAAAAAACAGCTTTTGTTACACAAGAAGGCCACTTTCAATGGACGTGTCTACCCTTCGGCTTGAAAACCTCTCCCGCAATATTTCAAAGAATCCTGAGCAACATACTAAGAAAACATCAATTAACTGATTTTACAGTTAATTATATATATGATATCCTGGTGTTTTCAAAGTCTTATAATGAACATATAAACCATTTATCACAATTACTGGAAGCAATAAAACAAGAAGGATTTCAGAGATTTTAGAGAGAACCTGTACACATTCCGGGACCTTGTTGTAATAGCGTATATTTTGCCCCAAGAATTAATTACTGAGTCTGTGGAGTCGAGAAACTGGCATCACTAGCTTGTGTTTGTTCCTAGTGTTTACAGAATGTATATCACTTTTTTTACTAAAACTATCTTTGTTTTTGTGAACATACATTAAATTTTCGTAAATATACTGAGAGGCCAAAGTTAATATATTAATTTCTTTAAATTTATCTCTAAGAGACTCTCGCGGTTTTAGATTGTAAATAGCTCTAATGGCCCTCTTCTGTAAAACAAAACAGTTTCTGAATCAGCCGCATTTCCCCATAGCAAAATCCCATAAGATATTACGCTATGGAAATAACTAAAATAAACTAATCTAGCTGTCTCGACACTAGTGAGACCTCTAATCTTTTTTACAGCATAGGCTGCAGAACTTAGTTTGCTTGCTAATTTGGATATATGGGGGCTCCACTGGTGCTTTGCGTCAAGAGTGATGCCAAGAGAAACAGTGGCTACAACAGGGCTCAATTCCTCCCCATTTAAAACACATTGGTATTCAGATTTTTAACATTCGTTGTTGTAAATTTAACACAATTAGTTTGATTTCCGTTCAAATGCAGATTATTAACGTTAAACCAATGCACTAATTTTGATATAGCATTATTCACTTCGTCACATTTAAATGATTGACGTTTAAGTTTAAAAATCAAGGAAGTATCATCAGCAAATAATACTATATCATGACTATAACCCACAAGGTGAGGTAAGTCATTAATATACACCAGAAACAGGAATGGGCCTAGAATCGAGCCCTTAGGAACACCCATTAGTACAGGTGACCCGGAAGAACTTTTACCATTGATAATAACCTTCTGTTTTCTATTACTTAAATATGAAATAATAAGTTTAAGCGCTGTGTTCTTGACACCATAGTACTGTAGCTTCCTGATTAATGTCTCATGGTGAACACAGTCGAAGGCCTTGGTAAGGTCACAAAATAAACTCAAAGCATCCTCTGAATTCTCCCATGCACAAAAAATATGTTTAATAAGCTCAACTCTAGCGTTAGTTGTCGAGCGACCCCTTGTAATACTGAATTGATTTTTATGTAGCAATTTATTAATATTAAAGAAACTAACATCTGATCTAAAATAATTTTTTCAAAAATTTTACTTAATGTTGGTAGTACAGAAATTGGTCTAAAATTGGCGGGGTCTAATGTACTAACAGATTTAAATATAAATATGACTTTACTATGTTTCATTAAAATAGGAAACACACCAGATTCGACGCTTATATTAAATATAGTGGCTAGATAAGGTGCTAATATATTTATTACAGATAAAATAACTTTAACGGAAATCCCCCATAAGCCTGCCGTTTTCTTAACATCAATAGTTTTAAAATATTTAAGGATATCTTTTCGATATCACATAAATAACATACAGTCGAATTGAGTACCGTCTCCTTTTTGTAAGTCGGATGCTCTTACCATTGGATCGGTGAAAGCGTCTGTCATGAGAGGAACCAGAAAGAAACTTGGCGAGGCTTTGTTTAAATAATTATATTCAATATTGTACAAATAAATGATGTAAGATTAATTAGTGTCATTTACGTGAACATAATGTAACGTAACTTGTAACGAACGTGAAATCTATTTTTAGAGATGGAAATATGGTCTTAGGTAGAAAGGCTTCTTTCTTGCCTAGAAGTTCATCTGAATAAGTAATCCAGACAAACACTGATTTGTTCCTATTTAAAAGGTAGGGGTAGGTATTATAATAAGAAAATACAAAGGAGTTTATGGATAAAAATAACCCCTCAACGTCAACTCCATGGAATGAGGTAATCGCTATCAAGACATTTTAATTTGTTTTGCGTAGTTAATCGTGTAATATATTTAATGATTTTAAAACTGTTCCTTTTAAAAAAAAAAGTATCGCTGGTTTGTTGGTTATTTCTCCACTAGAATGAGATATTTTAAATCAAACTTAAGAATGAATTTCAATAAATATCATTTACAATCTATATCGAGTAAAAAACTTTCTATCTATAAAACAAAAATTTAGTATATTTGACAAAGTTTGTCAAATATTCCTGTGTATATTATGTTCTCTAGCTTGGTTAGAAAATACACAAATCAATGTTGGAATTTTACATTCTACGTCCGCTAAAGTTAAAACACATTCGTCTTTCTTAAACTGTAGCGGCACCGTCGTAATCCCGCTATTTATTCGTATACCGTAACAACATTCGTCACTGGATCTGGAGAGAACTGCCAATTAATACTGACAAACATTGAAACTTTAATCATGAACATTTAAATACTCAATTCTCTCATTTTATTTTTATTTTACAGAATTAGTTTGACAAACGAGCACACAGTTCACCTGCTGATAAGTGGATGCTGTGGCTCATAGTCATCTACGTTTATCTTCGATTAAGAATCAAAATGCAGATGCGTTTTCACCCCTGAGGACTAAGATGGAATACCTCATTTCCAGTAAAAACGGTTTTCGTTTATTTATTTCGGTTTATTACCATACAAAACACATCAGCATTAAATGCTATTTTACGCTGGTATTTAGTGAGAGCGTGCTCCTTCCCCGGTCGAGTCGACCCATTCGTGCTACAACTATAAAATACCTGCAGCATGGCTGTATTACGATAAAAATACAAGACTATCAATAAACCGTATTTGGCTATGCTTGGAGATTCTTTGCGTAATAGATTAAGAAATAAGGATATCCTCAGTAAAACCAGACCAAAGTAACCGACGGATAAGTAAGATGTCTACGGGCCACGGCATCCACTTACCTTGAGGTGGACTGTATGATCGTTAGTCACCTTATTCTAAAAACAACATTTTGTTTAAAAATATTTTTTTTTAAGAACGATGTCTCTTAGACTCAACATCACAGTTTTACGAAATTTGACATTTGTTATCAAAGTTCCCTAATTTAAATTTTATTCCGCATATTTCCGCGGAACATCTTTTGTGGAACAGATTCCATTCTAAGCTTGATACTAAGTAATTACAATTTTTTTAACAAAATGACATAATATGGTTGTTATAAATTAATGTGCTTGATTCCGCGTAAAGAAAGAAAATGATGTGTCATGCCCAGATTTAAGGGAACTTCCCACCCTGCCTCAATCGCCCGTACTATACCCGTTGCCGTCAATCCCAGCAATACCATCCCCAGCACCACCACACTAGGCACGACACACCACTCTCGAAAATACGACACGTGTTTCGCCTCTACACGAGGCATCCTCAGGTGAAGTAGACTCTGCGGAGGCTGGCCGCTAAGCCAGCCTCCGCAGAGTCTACTAGGCAGGACACATAATTTTCTTTCTTTATGCGGAATTAAGCAAATTAATTTATAACAACCCCATTATAATGGATTTCTGCAAAGTAACGCCTGATTCTATCAATTATCTTAAAATGGCATAAGTTTATTCACGAAATAAATCGCTTAAATGGAATTATTTCATTACGTACAAAAACAACGGGCAATGCTTTTGAGTCTAAAGGGATAAAAAGAAAACAAAAGGGAAGAAGTTGATATAGCCTTCTGAAAATGGAATTTGTAATTTCTTATTCTCCCTTACTCGTAATATTATCGCGAAATAGGATTGTATTCGTATTTTTAACCGCACAATTTATGAATTGACATAAAAGTAAAACAAAATTGTTTTCTGTGATGTCGGAAAAAGAGATTCGTAACTAATATTGAGCTGAGTTCGTAATAATTTTGAGCTGACTTCTAAAAAGAAGGATTTTTATCAATTCCATTGTATTTAGTAAGCGATGCCTTCACCAATTATAAAATTTTTATGTTTTATTTATTTATTTAATAGTCTATACCCAAAAGGCGGCCTCATTTAAATTTCAAGGAAAAATTGCACTGACAAGATCAATAGGGGATAAAGTTCATAGTGGTACTGCTTGGAGAGCGTTCTAGTTGTCACTCGTACCGTGAGCTTGTTAAATTCCTTATTCACTCAAAGGGATAAAAAATTAAACTTTTACTAAAAAATTATAAATAATAAAAAATAACTTTAAAAACTGAAAAACATGGTGTATGTGTACGCGCGACTCGAGCTTATTCGCTTACGTTACACCTTGAGAGTCAAGTCAACCAATTCGTTCGATTAAATGACCTATAGAATGATGCAGATGGCGTGACACGTGTTAAGTGTAAGATGTGCGAAGAAGCAACCTTACGACTTCACTTTTTGTTACCACTCGATTTAGCTTCCTATCTAATTTGTGCACCACAGGCTATACAGTATGAAAATCGATTCTTAAAGAGAGAAACAACCATCTCCAAAAATAAAAAAATAATTGCACATAAATCATCATTAGAGCCTATATAAGTCCACTGCTAAAAATTAGCCTCTATTTCAAAATGTTTTTGTATAATAATAAAAAAAATTATACAAAACATTTTGAAAATATTATTGTAGCTGAATATTTAAATGGACCAAAGTCAGGAACGGCGTCATTAATTTGATTAAAACACGGCTATGTCGTTTGCAGGTAATTAAGCCCTCAATTCAAACTAACTTCACTTTACTCTAAGCCTTCCATGCTAATAATACACAGATACCACATTAAGATTATACCTGCGGAACATTATATGAGAGGCTTTTGGTTTCATAACTATGAAAGCACAATTTGTATTTAAGGATTTTTAGGTTTCCGTAGATTTACAACAAGGAACCCTTATAGTTTCGCCGTGTCCGTCCATCCGTCCGTTCGTCCGTGGTATTGCTCAGAGACTCTAGGTGCTAAAAATTTGTAATTAAGTATAGTAGGCAGGGCAGACATGGCAAACGCTCTGTCCTGGTGAAAATATTCCACTGGAAGTTAACCAACAAAAACAATGGGATATTCCGTTGGTACAGGGCGTGCAGAAAGACTTGTTTCATAATTTCCATAGTGACCAAGATAAGGCACGCCTTCTGGCTGTTTTGACTAATGAATC